CAGAACAGAACGGAGAGTTTGTATCATTAGCAGTTCTTGTTTTTAATTTAGCCTCAAATGCTAAGCTAGCTGTAGCCATTTTAGCCTGAAAATTAGCTTTAAAATTTTTTTACGGTTACCCAAAATACAGCCAAAAACTTAATCTTTACCAAGTAACAAAAATGACGTTCAGATTACAACGGACAGAGGAAGAGACTCAGCGACAATAAAGTTAAAACTCTGAGGAAATGTATAAAGTTTAAAATAGTTGACTGCTCCTGTAGTTTGGTGAACAAATTCAACCAAACCCAAAAATCCAGGAAACTGAAAGTGGGAATTAAAACGGAGAAGAAAACCCAGCAATCAGCACCAAATAGTACCAGTTTGTGACAGGCTGTAATTACGAGCCTGAATCAGACGAACCACCTCTGGAGGTAAAATTACAGCCTAACCTGAGCCGTTATATTAAAGCGCCTGAATTGATCTTAATTGAGTGTCAAACCAGAGCGGGCGTAGAGGAGGTGGAGACGCAGTAGGAGGAGAACGGAGCCACACAGACGCAGGGACAGTAGCAGGGTGGAGGCGAGAGGCCGAGGTGTGGAGATAAGAAACTTTCTGCCTCATTTGCTTCGACGCGTGCGAGTGTCTGCCGTAATAAAAAACAGCTTGTTCTCCGGCGCCGGCGCTGTGTAATGTTGGTCAGGTAACAAAAAGCAGGGGCGCTGTAATTACGGCTCCCACTGAGACCAGGAAGAAGGCCCGGCTTTTAGGAGTAATTGCATGTGGAAGAAAACACGGCACATTAAAATCAATGGACTAGAGAGAGAGACGCCGGGAAAAAAAAATAGTTATCATCATGGATTTTTACTCTAATATCCCCCGAGAGCTGGAGGACGGAGGCTCTGAGAGGAGAAAAAAAATCTATTCACCGACTCAGAGCAATGTTTCACAAACAGAGCGCCATCCACAGACCTGGGACAGGAATAAAAAAAAAAAGAAAAAAAAAAAGGAAAATGCACTGAAATCTTTGACGAATTCCATCCGTTCACTGAATGTTGATACGACCGATATGAAACTCCAGCATGCATTAGTGCTGATGTCATCAACTTGTAGAGCAACGCTAACAACACGGAACAACAGCAGAATCTGGTTCAGGCAAAATGGAAAGTGACCTCTGGAGCTGCAGCTATTGATTATTTTTGTGATCAATATGGAAAATCAAGAAAACCTGTAGTTACTATTTCATTTAAATAAATAAATAGAATAATTATCTGGTTACTGTTTATGGGCGTTCACCGTCGGTGTTCAGAGACGTGTGATTACCCAACATGCACCGATCACGTCGGGGAGCTCCATTGGTTACTGAACAATGTGCAATCAGACGAGCAACAACCGTGTTGATTTGACTCTTCAGGCTGGAGGAGGCCGTGAGTTTGTTTGCTTTAATTGTTCAATTGTTTCAAAAAAAAAGAAAAAAAAAGAAAAAAAAAGAAAAAAAAAGAAAAAAAAAGAAAAAAAAAGAAAAAAAGATGCCAATTATATCAACGACGTGCGGAGCAGCTTCAAAAACACCAGGAGCAGAGACTCGGCTTCACCTCGCGCTGCCGGTGTAGAGGACCGTCACTCAGAGACCGCAGGTATTCAGACGTGGTTCATTCATGACGCAGCAGCGTTTGGACAGACGGTTCTCTGAGAGCCAGGAGGCTGCTGAGGTTCTCTTCTTCTGGGGTTGACGCCGCAACAGCAACTTTCACTGCGTCACCGAGTTGAAACGTCTTCTTCAAGTCTCCAAGTAGAGTTGGCATTCATTCACGGCTATCACCAAGGATCCGAGGTTTGGATCAAGAGTTTGTCAAGATATTCTAAAGGACATTATTCACTTAAAAAAATATTTTTCAGGGCAGAGGGGGCGGTGGAGTCAACCCTGGCAGGCTTTGGGGTAAAGACGAGGTTGGTAGGGATAAGAGAATAACACAGAAAAAAATATTGCGCAATCCGTTTCGTTTCGGCATTTCCCCGCCGATTCACACCCACTAGGCCTTGGACATTTCTCCAGTACGTCGCAGGTCCACACATCCAGTAGGGACGTTCACACCATTCACATCTTTCACCACTGTAGAGTGAACAGTAAACCGTGTTTCTGGACTCAGGGTGTGGGAGGCTGGGGATCGAACCTGTGATCTGCTGCTGTAAGGCAAGAGCATCAACCTCTTATTCACTGATTTAAAGACGGTGTTGGAGTTGATACAGTGGACCCCCCCCCTCCCTCCCCCCGGGGGGGCCCTTTCTGTCTTTACCAGTGTGATGATGTGACTCCACTCTCCCTCGGCTGCTGATCTGATTGGTGCATTAATACAGAGTAAACCTCGATCGTCTGGCGTTCATCAAACACACCAACGTCCAAAGAGAAGGAATATGAATATGAGTTTGTTGTCGTCGTCGTCGTCTCACTGAATCACACTTTCATTTATCAGGTTTCCAGACCCCGTAGTCGATGGAACTCATCGGAGGGAGAGATGATTAAATTCCGTAGACGTGCGGCGATCCACCTTTAATAAAGGTTTGTTTTTATCTGTAGCCATCTTGAGGTGGAGGAGATGCAGCAGGCGGGCAGTGAGTATCCAATTCTCTGTTGCTCCGACGGCTCAATGACACAGGTTTTATTTTTTATTTTTTTTTCCGTCTTTGAGTCGCAGCTAACGCGGCCCATCCTCCGAGACGTTAGTGGATCTGACAGATCTCCTTCAAGTCAATTAGAGACGCAGCTCAAGCTAATCAAAACAACCAGCGCCGTCCAATTCAATTGCCATTCAATAATTGGATCAGGGTGGGAGTCGAAAAGGGATTCTTTTTTCTTTCCCCCCAAAGACAACAATGGTGGGGTGAAGAAATGGAGCTGATTACCCTTGGCCAATGTTGAAGCTTAGCTGAGAGGAAAGACGGACCTCCGCAGAGAGCAGCAGGACCCGGGGGGGCGATGTTGAGGTCACAAATTGAGGTATCTTCATGGATTCTTCTATGGATCGTACGAGTGACTTTACTGGTTAACTTTTTTTTTTTTTTCCTTCCTTCTCTTCCTGACGCTGCGGTTACACAACCATGAAAACTAAAATATATATTTTTATCTTTTCCAAATCAAGCTCGTTTCTCCAGGACTCATTCAGCTCAGTGCTCTTCATTTTTGTGAATCAAAGAAAACAGGAAGCTGACCATTATTCACGTCCATTAGCGTCACTGCAGAATCTTTTCATATATATTAGAAGGTGCAGAGGAAGGGCAGCTCTTCTTCAGGGTTTTCTTAAAATGAAAGAGAAAAAGAAGAAGAAAAAAAAAAGAAAATGCCACTAACGATGAGACAGCACTGAAATGTTTTATGGACTGGAAGATAGAAGATAGAGAGAATGTATGAAAGCCTGAAATGTGACATTTTTCTCCATTAACCACCGGGGCTCGGTGAGTAGGAGTTGTTGAGTGCATCGGATTTGATCTGCCGTACGTGTGTGTGTGTGTATTAATTAAAACAGAGGTGTGAGAGTTTCCATTTTCAGCAGCAACACAACCAGATAAACTATTTAGAAAGTACGCCACAGGATGTCTGCGTTCGTTCACTGATCTCTTTAAGATGAAGTCGAATGCGTCAGGAGTGAACGGTGAAAAAACCTGTTTATGGAAATGGAAATACAACCCAGCATTTTATTGATTTCTCAACGCAGGAGGAGGGGGGGGGGGGGGGGGGGGGGGGGGATTCGAGGAAAAACGTATCCACGTATCAGGTGAAGAAGATGTTGTTCCTGCGTCCAGCCGTGGTCAGATTGGAATGATAGCGCTTTAACCAAGTAAATGTGATGAAATCTAATTATTATTAACCTTCAGAACAAAGAGGGTCCCGGGGGTCAGGACGTAGAGTCTCTCATTGGTCGCCCTGAATCCCAGGATGGGCTGGTCCGACTCCAGACTGGCCACCTGTTGCTTGGCGACCTGACCTACCTGACGACCCTGTTTGCGGTTGAACAGCACCGTCTCCACGGGTGAGGGTTGCCGGTAGATGAACGCACGGCGCAGACACTCGCAGTGGGAGGCGTAGGAGAAGTTTGGAGCGCAGGTCGCAAACTTTTTGTTACGGTTGGACGCCTGGACGTAGCCTGCAAAAAAAAAAAGAAAAATCCGACAGATTAGCAGATGTGATGTTTCCTCCACTCCAACATCCGTCAGCAGTTTTTTTTTAAACGATTCCCAGTTTACGTTATCAATAATAGATGATGACACCAGGTGGGACGCTGCACTCACTACAGTTCCACTGCAGCCATTTAAGACCCCCCCATTCACCTCTGCTCTGCAGCCCCACCCGGAGGTGAACAGTGGTACAGCAGATGTAGAGTAACTAAACTTCACAGTTGTTTCAATGAATAATTT